AAACATTCACTGATGCTCCTGAAGGAAATACGATGCATTAAGAGCCAATTGAAGATCAAGGTAAATTGTACTTGATTTGTTTTCCGGGAAACATGCAAGTATCTTCTGTTGCTTCTGAAGGGCAGTACTAAATGGGAAAAAATTATATTTCTACAAAATAAGAAAAATTTGGACATCTTCATCCTGTTCAAAAGTTTTCACCCCCTGGCTCTTAATGCATCGTATTTCCTTCAGGCGCATCAGTGAATGTTTGAACCTGTTTTAATAGTTGTGTTTGAGTCCCTCAATTGTCTTCAGTGTGAAAAGATGGATCTCAAAATCATACAGTCACTGCTGGAAAGGGTTCAAATATGCACAAGATGCTGGAAAACTGAAGAATCTGCAGGACATGGAGGATTTTTCTGAAGGAACAGTGCTCAGTTTAACTGTTCGGAACAAACAAGGGACTCATGAACAACCATCACAAAACAAAAAACAGTTGTGGATCATCCAGGTAACCCCACACAGTATTAAGAACCAAACTTTTGAACAGGGTTATTTTAATAATTTCAGCTATTGTTTTGCCTTGTGGACTAAATGTAAACATCTTTTATGTCAAATATCTTACCCAGGACAGTACTAAATAAAAAATAACATGCGTTTTGTATGATCTCTCTTATTTTGTTCAAATTACTCGCATTTTCACAGATTCTGCAAGGGGTTCACAAACTTTCAAGTGGCACTGTATGTGTGTATGTATGTTTGAAATGTATATAACATGTTTATTCCACAGTCCACAGAATAGGCAGAACAGGTCGATCCGGAAAGACTGGAGTAGCCACAACATTTATCAACAAAGGATGTGGTAAGTTTTTAACATTTTTTTAATTATTATTATTATTATTATTATTATTTATTTATTTATTTTTATATATAGATTGATCTTTGGTGTCTCTCTGTCTGTTTTCATTTCTTGTTCCTCCTTCCGAGATTAAATTACCACACACAGTGAATTATAATTTCAGAGAATATAGATGTAATTGCGCATTAAAATCCTTTTTTCATAGATGAGTCTGTACTAATGGATCTGAAAGCTCTGTTGGTTGAAGCCAAGCAGAAGGTTCCTCCTGTGCTGCAGGTTCTCCAAATGGGAGACGAGATGATGCTGGATATTGGAGGTACAAATGATGCACTTATTGCTGAAACAAGCTTATATAGCCAGTTGAGCGCATGCCCAAAATTATTGCAACATTTGCCTGGTTGTGCAAAGAGGATCTGCAGCGCTCAAAAGTGTAAGATAAAACATTTTATAACATTTTTATTTTTATTGATTGATTGCTTTTTTCAATCCTAGGAGAGAGAGGCTGTACATTTTGTGGTGGTTTGGGCCACAGGATCACAGACTGTCCCAAACTGGAGGCCATGCAGACAAAACAGGTCACCAACATTGGCCGCAAGGACTATCTGGCCAGCAGCTCCATGGATTTTTAATGCTGTCTGCTACTTTGTCATCAAATCTTTCCTTGAGAGAGGCTCCTGTATCATGTCCGATGTCATTTTGTGCAAAATGCATTATTCTTGGAACTCCACTTTTTTTTTTATATCAGTGAAACTATCTTTTTTGTTGCAAAATACAGTCAAAAAGCTTTGCGTAAGAAAAAAAATATATTAAAGTTAGGTTTTACTAGAGTTTTCAGTAGGTTTTGCTTCATAATGATGTTGTCATGTAATAATGTAACAGCTGAGTTATTACAGTATTTATCTGAAACCCACTCAGGCATGTTTTTGACAGTTAAATTGTTTATTTGCTACACATCCAGTGTAAGTAATGGTCACCTCATGCACCCTCTTTACTTAATGAAACCAAATGCAATAAAATTCTTCTCTGAGACTGTATCTCTGGTTATGTCTCTTTGCCATGTCCTGTTTACAACTAAGCTTAAGTGATTGTTAAAGAGACACATCAATATAAAGTTTTCAAGGTTCGAGGAAACCAGTGGGGACCATTTTTAGCCACTTGCTGGTGAATGACGTGGCCCCTCAACCTCACGGAAACATTTGCTTAATATCAGGTTTAGCATCACACGCCGTCTCTCTCTCTCTTTCTCTTTTGTCAGCTTCTGTAGAAGATAGAGGAACTGGAGCACTTTGAGGCAAACAAGCACAATGGATGTAATCTCTAAAGAGGGTCTGCTCTATTTGCAGGGCGTCAAGTTTGGGAAGGTGAGGTTATTCACTGAAAATGATCATTTTACTCTTAATTCAAGATGGAATTTTTATCTATTTTTTTCAGTATATTATTTAATTCTAGTACTAGCACTACTATTTCATGTGCTAGTTTTTATGTTTTTTATATTGCTTATATTAATAGTATGTTTTATACGGTTTCCTGCTCAACTTCCTGAGTGTTTATTAGCCACATCATAGGATCAACTTGTGGGGGAATAAAGTCACTGAATTAAAATGTCAGACAAATGCATGCATATATTTGCAGGATATTAGAATGAAGTTTATTTGAGATTTAAAGATTCACCAAGTCTTAATTTTCTCTTGCCTTCGTGTCGTTCAAAACCTGTATGAGGTTGGAACAAAGATATTTTGAGAAATATCAGTGTTGCTTTTTTAAAAAAAATTTTTTATATACATACAATGGAAGCCAGTGGGCTCCAATGATGTTTGGTTACCAATGTTCTTCAAAGTATCATTTGTGTTCCGCAGAAGAAAAAAGTCATACAGGTTTAGAATGACATGAGGCTGAGTGAATGATGACAGCATTTTTATATGAACTATCCCTGTAATGTAATTAGAATTTATTGAGGAAGGAATGGTATTTTTGGAAGGAAAAATGTGGGACATACCATTGATAATCACAGTTATAACAGTATTAAAACATTCCTTTATTTACAACAAGCCTTGGGAATTATAGGTGGTCAGAAATCTTCAACTGTACATTATTAATACAGAAGGGAAACGGCAGCTGGTTAACCACCTGAGGTGCTTCCATCTTCATGGTAGCATTTAACGGCCATGAATCATGCATGGGAGATAAAACGAAGAATCGTTTCAGAACTTCTCCCTCCGGCATGCTTTCCCAAAAATCTAACCGGTCCCACTGGAGGAGTACTGAACCAGAGAGTTTGATGTTAAACTCTTCTGAGTTATGCGCCAAAATAATTCATTTTCTTTGCTCTGTTGTATGCCTCAAAACTAACGTCACCCCTTGTTCCTGCAGAAGATATGGCGGAAATCCTGGCTGATTCTGTTCGAGCCCAGCTCTGCAGGGATCGGCCGTATGGAGCTGTATGACATGCGTGATAGAGGGGGGCTGATGGGGTCTGCCGCTGCGAGGCCTTCAGGGCTCAGGAAGACAGACAAACGGGTGATCCGCCTGACAGACTGTCTGAGCATCACTCCAGCCCCAGGAGAAAGCTGTCCCACAGATTGCTCTGCCTTCTTTTTAAACACCACCTCATGCACCTACACCATCGCTGCTCCCACCCAGGAGGACTGGATGACTGTTCTGTGCCAGCTAGCATTTCAGGTATGGAGGTTAGTTGATATTGCAAAGTAGGATGTGTTCTTGGATCAAACAGTCCTGTCAAACAAGTCAAGTCAGCTTTATTTATATTGTGCTTTATACAATACAGGTTTGCAGCAATGAACAGGAAAATAACCGAATCAATGATCCAAATTTCATCAAATATGAGACAAATCCAAATTCCACTGTAAAGCAGCTCTACAAAGACAATAGTGTCATTATTCTGCTCGAAGAATAATTCAGTGTAGGTTTTGTTCAATTCAATAACTGTAAAATTCAACAAGTTCAATTCAACTATAAGCAGCTCTACAGAAGACGGCAGTCTCGTTATTCAGCTTGAATCAGTTTAGTTTCAATGTTGCAAAATTCTTTAATTAAATTTGAACAAATTTGATTAAGCTACAAAGCAGCTCTACAGAAAACAACAGTCATCATCCAGATCTAGTCAGTTCAAGTTTTGCTCTCATCCAATGGTGTAAGTGCAGTCAAATCATTAATATTACTGAATATTAAGTGTCTTTTAAACCCCAACTAAGCAATCCAAATGTGGATTATGGATATGGACATTATGAATAACCCATATTTGGCAGATACTTTTATTTGAATCAATTTACATTGCATTCAGGGAATACGTTTAATTAATGCATGCATACCCTGGGAATCATTCCCATGACCTTGGCATTCACTTTGCTCTACTGTTTGAGCTACTGCTAAAGTTAAAGTGAAATTAATATATGCGTGTGTGTGTGTGTGTGTGTGTGTTAATAAATATTTCAAGAATCTAAGCCAGATAAGAACAAGAATGTTAATCCAGGAACATTGGAGATGGAAAAAATAAAGCATTAGCCTTGTTAAATTCTGCCAGCATGTTGGATCCATTCCAGACTCTTTTCCAGATCCTATCAGTCCATTTTGATACATTCTAATATCCAAAACCAGCAACAGCAAGTTTGTCTGATACCATAAACTAGTTAACACTGCATTTTGTCTCATATCCAAACTAGTTATCAGCTAATCAGCCGAAAAAGGAAACATCTGCCAAGAAAGAGCAGAAAGCAAAAGACAAAGCATTGGTAAAACAAGCTTATTGAATAATACGAGTTGCATCCTCATGACACAAGTCATAATTAGAATGAAGGACATTTTACCACTACTAAAGTGACTAAAGTCAACACATTTATGAAGGACTTCATTTTTTTATGTACAGTTTCACACAACAGCTAAGTCGAAACAGGAAGTGCTGATAACCACACCTTTGAGTCTGATTGCACAAGTTTGTTCATGGTCTTTTTTTTTTTTTTTTTTTTTTTTTTCAAAGAATGATATGATAAAAAAAGAGGAATTAACAATGTACACTTGTTATCAACTGTCTTATATTTTTAGAAGACCCAAAGAACCGAAGATACCAAGAAAGATAAATACACAGCACTGGCTGACAATGAACTGTACTCCACCTGGGGAGCAGGTGAGAATGGGCTCTGAAATACACTTCTCTACCAGCAAAGATGTTTCAGAACCACAATAACAATTATCTGCTGTTAAATTAGGTGTTACCAAACTGTTTGTTGCAGTTGCGCAAGAGGGTGTGTCTTATTGGTGCAGATGTACATTTCCATTACTCAGTGTTTATTGAGGTCAGACACGTCTACGTAAGTGTAAAAGAACAAGAGCACAAAAATAGTCATATTGATTGAATTTATAGTGTTTAGTTTCAAGTTTGTGTTCAGTCTAAGTTCTTTTTTTCTTTTTTTTTCCTCTGTCTTATTTTAATTTAAAAAAAATCTCATTGTTGGTTTTCTGTACTCATACAGACAGACTTCCTTGGTGTTGCGTCATATTTTACGGTTTGTTTTTTCAGCTTCTGGAGGTTTTGGGGGTCTATCTTCTTCCTCATGGAAAAATATTAGGTAGTGCATACCTAGTTTTTCTTAGTATTACAGTGCTCACCCAGAAGTGTGTTAAATAACACGTTCTTTTGCAAAGTTACGTTTTTCTTTTGTGAATGATCGAGTCGAGTCTTAGAGAAACCATTCATCTCAAGCTGATTTGTAACACTGATAACACTAATGCTTTAGAACACAAAGTAACTTGGGAAATTCCCATTTAAAATCATTCCAGTCGCTATATAAGAACATATATATCTGAAAATGTGTTTTTGAGCCACACAGATAATAAATGTGTTTGGGCATAAAAGTATTCAAAGTTTTAGGAACTAAGGACCCTTAGTACATTTAGTAACAAGTGTTTGTTACATCACTTTATCTTAATTAGTAGATAATCATTTGATAGTTGTTTGTTTGTAATAAACTGAAATTGTTTTATTCACCTCTTACCATTTATTTTTCTTATTCTTACAATAGTTCCCTTTCATGGGAACTTCGAACTGCGTCCTCTAGGGGTCGCTATGGGGAACGCCTCGTCGTGACCCGTGTCTGAAGCATACATTGAAAAAACACCAACTCGTTGGCCGGCGACAGCCATGACGTCACTACCGGTGCGACTATAGTATAAATAGGCGCCGGGAGCACACATCATTCTCTTCTTCGTCTTCATTGACTGTTCTGTTTGAAGCGTGCATTCCAAGGAAAAAGTAAGAGTTATCTCTATTTATTATGGCGAGCACTAGCAGAGCATTTAGAAGGTGTATAGTACATATGTGGTAAATATGTAACTAATGTAACATATGTAACAAAACTTGGACTGCAATTTAAAAATAATATTTAATTTATAATTGTTGCAGTGTTCTATTTACTAGACCGATTGTTAATAGACTGTTTTTTTTTTCCTGAGTGGAAGCTATTAGTTGGTCTATAAAAATAAAAAAAAAATAGTAATTTCTCAGTTCAGATCAATATTTCATGCCTATGTACTGTTTATTTGTTTAGTTAGTCGTATACTATGTAAGTATTGTAAAATGTAGTGTAGCCAAATTATTATTATTATTATTTAAAAAAAAAAGCTTTAGGGGTGATACAAGAAACTGTTCAATCCCTGTTGTATGTAATTATGCAAGAAATGTGAAGATGTTTTTGGAAAATTTGGTATACAGCCTTTTTATTCATTTTACATTTTTAATATTCTAATATTAAAGAATCAAGACTGTTTCAAGACCAACCATTCATGTGATCAGTTTCACTGCTTCATAATTCTTGGCCACCCCTGTAAAATATCTTTTGTTCAAGAGGTCTGACCCCAGCGATTGAGGGTTTGTCCAGAGAGACTTCGGTTTGATGTTTTTATGAATTCCACCCCGCAGGCCAGTTCCAGGTGACAGTGCAGAGCACAGATGCGTCTCAAAGGTGCAGGATGTCTGGGTCTTACCTGCTGTCTTCTGAGAAAGAGGCTATTTGTCTGCTGAATCTTAAGACCGGGCAGGCCATCTACCATTGGCCCTACAGGCTCCTCAGGAGATTTGGCCAAGTCAAGGTGCTTCACGAGGAATAAAAATATGCAGCCGTCTTATACTCTACATGCTTGCTCATATAAAATAATTTATATAAAACTATATATACACTACACACTTACATTCAAAA